TAGATTAATAATTACCATAAAAGCTGTTTACAATTTGCATTTGATTTCTATACAGTTAAAGTGGTCGACACTGGTCAAAGTTGAAGTGCTCAGCTGGAATTTTGCCCCCCAGAAGTGAGACCAGAAAGCATGTGAGAAGAATTTCAACAAACTAAATATTTCCTCTCCTTGCTGAAATTCCTATACATATCAACATCTTAACCTTGAAAAAATAGTTAAGGATCTGCATAACAAGCTTGGAAAGTCTCCTTCCACCTAATATAAACAAAAAATAAGGAGAAAGATGGAATTTAATATTTACATTATTTACATTATTTTCCTGAGATTTTTTTTTTTTTTTGCATTAGGTCAAAGTGCCTTTACTGGAGACCATCTAAACTCATCAGGTACTGGTAGCAGATCCTGAAGCATCAAAACAGAAGCCTGGAATTTCCAACAGAAATGCAAAAGATGCAGCTTTTAGCAAAGAAAACGCACGGCGAGCAGCTGCCAGCGCCGTAGCCTTAGCAACGACACCTGTTCCATACTCACGTCGGCTTTCATACATGCTCCTGGACTGGGCCCAGATTTTGAACGGATCCGGCTTTTTCTGCCCAGGGTTGTCCGGCTGGTCGGCGGGCGGCGCGTCGGAGGCCGCGTAGTCGGGCAGCGCCTGCGTGCTGTGCACGGGCGAAGCCGTGTGCCCGCTGCGGTGGCTGGAGACGCTGTGCTGAGAACTGTTCTGGCTGTCTTTCCTCTCAAGTGGTTGCTGTAAGGAGGACGGCAAGTGGAAAGAGAGAGAACAGCCAGTTATTGGTCGCTGAGTGGGTGTTTTCCATCAATTTTGCCTCCCGTCGCTGATCAGGGGTTCTGCGTGCACATAGGCAAATATACAAATCACAGTCGTGCTGCCACCACTTAATGCAGGATGCAGCTAGATTTCCCCATGACAGACTTTTGATAGACAGACTGACAGAAAAAGATATGCAAAACGGATACGTTTATCATAAAAGCCACGCAGCGCTCCACCTCGCACACAAAACAAATCTAAATCTCATTAGAGGCTACTAATTTCAGTGCACTTTTTTTTCTTTTTTCTGCACTAGGCTCGAAAGACTCAACAATCTTCTACTTAGTTAACATTAGGGTCTATCTTGAGCCAAGAAGAACGAGGTAAAGTCATTAAATTGCACGGTGAAAATCTGCACAAGCCCCTCTGCAGCAGGTCCAGGAAAGGTCACTGCTTCTTCCAAAGCAGTGTGTCAAGAGCTCTGTCTGCTCGATACTTAGCTAAGCAGGGTATGTAATTCCAAGCTCAAGTTCACAACAGTGTGCTCAGAGGAGGCATGAGTCGCTTTTGCACTGCATTTGCTGAATATGCAGCCAAACCTTCCCTTGAAAAGAGTTCCCAAACACTGCAGTTAATACTTCTTTTAATTCTCTTTTGAGATGATCTTGCATTGGCAACAAGGGCAAGTCCAGTCTCCCATCACCCCAGCACATGGAACTGGCACCTTTCTGGGGCCACCACTATGCAGCGGACGCCAGGAAAACCAGCATCCCATCTGTGGTGTTCATAACACCCACAGACTCCTAGCTAAAAGGAGTCACTTACCTAGAAACTTCACTTATCTAGAAACAGCAGCCCAATGGCTTAGACACTCCGACCTTGCACTCAAGTTGTTAAGCCACGACCGTCTTTTTTTCTTTTTAAGTGGTATCTCGATCGACTAGAATGTGAAATTGTGTTTGTCCTTTAAAGCAATTCTGAACGGATCCTACCTGCTGCGATTACTCATCCACTGACTTTCAAATACAAATATCTGAATCAATTTCAGGCATTTTTAGCTTTTTAAGCAGTAGAAGGAGCTAATTCAAATGCAGCCCCTTCAGTTTTTAAATGAAGTGATTTAAAAAACATCTATGCTGTGGATAATCTCTCCTTTGTGACTTTAGAAAGAAACACAATGCAGCTCTCAGTGCAGCCATCTGGACCGGTTTGTTTGTTTGGTCAAACAACTAAAATAACTGAAAGCGTCCTGTGAAATGTCAGGTCAATCTCACTGGAAAGAGCTGGTTTACAGGCTCAGAGTATAGGGTTAAATTGGTTAAAACTGGAAAATCTTATGTATGCAAGCCTTGGGGAAATGTTAGGAGCTATCTGAAAACGTTCTTTTTTAAAAAAAAAATAAAAAAGTTCGAACCTTTAAAAGGGATCTCAGTTTATGAGATCTAATTTCAACTACAGTTGTAGCTGCAAACACACAGAAATTTTGCAAGAAACAGGGAGAGAATTTTCTTCAGGCATCTACTAATTTTTCAGATGGAAACACCTTTAAAAAGCTTGAAACCTCTCCATCTATGAGAGGAGGAGGGGAGCAGAGAAAGCAGAACACCACTATGTAAATCACAGATATATGAGCTTAAGTGAATTCAAGACAACATTAACGAACTTTCACATTACCAGGATGGGCCAAAACCACTGTGAGTCAAACTTCTTCCCACTTGCCCAACAAGAGCACTAGGGAATCTGCTCATAGGGATGTTTGGCTGGAGACAGGGCCCTGGGGCAATGGCTGAGCCTACGGAAACCCACGTCCTGCCACGGAAGGGATGGCTCCTCCACTCCCACCTGCTTCCTCACTTTGTGTCCGACATTCCCTGCGGGATGCAGACCCAACCGTGTGGGGTGCAGCTCCCATACTGGCAGAGAAGCCTGTGTCCTGCTAACTCAGGGCCAGGGGAACACGGGGCTCTTTGGTGACAGACTCTTTGCAGATGTTGTTCCAAGACGCATTCGCTGGCCGTGGTTTTCAGTGCAGGGTAAACCAGATCAGCCGAACCATAGTGACATTTGACAGGACCTCACAGATAAAACACATGGGGCATTCAACTACCCAAAGCCCTCAAGCACCCTGCCTTGAAACACAAAACCAAGTAGTCTACGGCCTTCACTATGCACTCTTTCTTGCCAGAAAGACAAAAACTTGATGGTATGGCACTCAAAACTAGGAAGACGACCTTGAGTTCACTTAGGCAGACCACTCAGCTACTATACCACACTCGTGACAAAGCTTCTATGTCGAAGGCTAGAGACCTGCAGGCCCTACCCAAAGCAGAGGTCTGAGATGGAGCTTACGGACTATGTGTTTTGACAGTGACCATGGGGAAAAGAGGGGAACAGCAAAAGTGATGGGAGCAGGGGAGCTCGCATCCCAGCTGTTGGGCTCCCAAAGGAGCCAGGAGGAAAACAGACCCTAAAAGCCTCTTAGAGCTGTGCTGGGAGATGCTACAGATACCCACGTGTCACCGGGCCCGCCTGTCACTTGGGTCAAATGGAAGAGCAATTAAACGTTACTTTGCACCGTGATGGCTGAAGCAGCAGAGGCCAGTGACACTGCAAAGGGGACACATTTTGGGTCACAGTTCAGCTGTGCTGACAACGTATTTATTTAGATCCCAAAGAAAAGTCAGCTTTTCAAGAGAGCTCAGCAGTTCCTCCCCTCTGCACTGAACCTGGCTTTGGATGATCTAGTTGCAGATTTTGTGCTCTAGAGCACTTCGGAGAACCTGGTCCTGGCACTGACGCAAAACGGAGCTGGAAATGAGAATCTTTGCCCCCTTGTGGAATATTTTGATACATGGAAAAAGAGGGAGGGGAAAAAAAGTAAGTTTGTTTTCAATCATATTGCATCAGGACAACTGCAGGGCAATTACTAAACTAGAAAAAACATATACTGAAAATATATATCCCCAAACTATTATCTGTTCTCCTTTAAAGAAGAATCAATGGGAAACTGGAAGAAAAAAAATAATTAAAGCAGGCAGCTTTTATGAACCTGCCTGTTTTATGGAAACGGGGGAAAAGAAAGCACTTGGAAGCAACCAGCCAGTTTTACTGCTTGCTTCAAGATCTGACTCTGAAGATTTTTTCCTAGTTTGACTTTTCTACCAAGACTGCAAAATCCTCCCTAAAAACTGAGAAACACACCAAAACATGTCAAAAAGCATCAGTGATAACGTGTGCAGGCACCTGCACAGGCAGAAAACCACCAGGAAGAGCAATTGGAAGGCAGAAATAGGCTCCGTCAGCGCACTGCTCTGCAGCCCGACAGCCTCTCCGAGGCCCTGGAACACCTCCTCCGGGATGCAAACCCAGCAGCCTGATGTTGGCACCCAGGAACACTGGAGCGGGGCTAAAAATAGGGGTTTTTTTTGAGAAAGAGAAGAGTTGGCAGCAAGGTGGGCGGGCGTCTGGGCTTTGAGAGAAGATATAGGAGGAAAGAGAGAGGGATTTCTGCAGAGCTGAGAGGAGGAGGATGAAGCCCCACGCACGCGTTGTCCCACCAGGAGCAGGGGAGATGGAGACAGAGCCCACGCTCTGGTCAGGCTGGGCACATGCTGATCCTTTAATTGTGGCTAATTGACTAACGAGGAAAGGCTGGGTGGCCTTCCTGGGGGAAACAGGCAGCACATCCAAGCACCCGGCAGATGCCCTCGTGGCAGTGCTGGCGACACCAGGATGCACCTGATGGCTCCCAGCCCTGGAAAACGGCCTCCAGGGAGCTGCAGGCTTGGGCAGTATCTCAGGGGGACAAGCCAGGCATGGGGACAGCATCAAGAGGCCCACGCTGCGCTCAACCCATCAAATAAACCCAAGGGAGAACCCGCTGCTGCGGGGCCTGCGGGCAAAGGGGCACCCGCCTGGCTCACCACGGGGCGACCACGGCTCCTTCCTCAGGGCTGCCGAGGAACGAGGCCCGCGCGCCTCTCGCACGCTGCTCGCCCGTCATACCCACGGTTCAATAACCCCCGGGCCAGCGGCTCACGAGCGAACGTGCCCCACGCTCCCGACGCTAACGCGAGCCCGCCGCGGC